TGGCATATTGAAACCAGTAAAGAACAGTGACTGGGCAACCATGATCACATATGTTTCAAAACATGATGGATTGATCTGAATCTGCAGTGACTTTACAGCTACTATTAATCCAGCGCTTTGGGCAGATAAACTACCCGTTGCCCAAAGATCTGTTCAGTGGCCCAGCAGGGGGAGTAAAAAATTCAGAAAAATGGATCTTTCGCAGGTCTTCCTGCAGACGGGAGTGGCTGCTAAATCCCAACACCTGCTGGCCTGCTGAAACATCAGGCTTGTTTCACTATCCAAGAATCCCCTTTGGGATCATGTCAACCTCAACCTTATATCAGAGGTCTACGGACAAATCCTAAGTAGACTAAAAGAAAATCACTAGCTCCACAGAGGAAGAGTACTTGGAGCTGGAGCAGACCGTAAGATGGTTGCAAGCAAATGGGTTACGAGTAAACAAATAAAAGTATGTCTCCTTCTAAAAATCAATGGAATAGTTAGAGTACATCATTGATAACATAGGGCTTCACAAGGCGTCAAAGGAAATGGAGGCAATCATGGAGGCTACAGTGTGTCCCAGTTAAGATCATTCCTAGGTCTCATGAATTAGGTTGGCAAATGCATTTCAAATTTGGTGATCCTTTTGAAGCCTTTCATAATCTTCTATGTAAAGGTCAGCCTTGGAAATGGGACCCAGACTGTGAGCTTTAGACAGTTTGGCAAGAGGTGTGGCTAGTTCTGGAGGAGACATCTTCAGTACTATTGCCAAAATGTTGTCAGGGCCCATAATCTTTCCAGTTTCCACTGCCTTCAGCCATTCCTTGATGTCATATGGAGTGCGTAGCGTTGGTTGAAGACTGGCATCTGTAATGGTGATGAGATCAGGAGGAGACCAAGATAGATCATTCACCCAGTGCTTTTGACTGAAGATTGTTGTAAATGGTTCAGCCTTGCCTTTTGCACTGATGTGCTGGGCTCACCCATCATTGAGGATACAGATAGTTGTAGAGCCTCCTCCTCCAGTGAGTTGTTTAATTGTCCACCACCATTCATGGCTGGATGTGGCAGGACTGTAGATCTTACCTCTGATCTATTGATATTGGGATTGCTTAGTGCTGTCCATTGCATGCTGCTTCAACTGTTTTGCATGCAATTAATCCTGTGTTGTAGTTTCGCCAGGTTGCTACCTCATTTTTAGGTTTGTTTAGTGCTGCTCCTAGCATGCCCTCGTAACCTTCATCCAGTCTTGGTGAATCCCCTGGCTTTCAGTAAGTGATATAGTAGGCATTTAGTTTATAGATTGTTCTTGAGTACAATTCTGCAGCTGCTAATGGCCAGCAGTGTCTCTTTGAGATGCTAAATCTGTTCCAAATCTATTCTATTTAGCACGGTGGTCATAGAGTTCCTCAGTGTGAAGAGAGGATTTCGTCTCTTCAAAGACTATGTGGTAGTCACTCCTGCCAATATTGTCAATGACAAATGCATTTGCAATAAAAACAATGGTAGGGGTGAGGTCAAATCACGTTTTCCTTTTCTATTTCACCCACCACCTGCTGCAGACTCAGACTGCTAGCTATGTCCTTCATGATTCTGCCAGAATTTATGCAGCAATTTATGGGTATAAGTGTAAGCTTTTATTGTTATTCAATCGTGTAATGTGAGCATCACTGGCTGGGACAGGACTTATCGCCTGTCTGTAGTTGCCATTGAGAAGGTAGCAGTAATCTGTCTTGTTGAACCGCTGTTGCCCATGTGCTGTAGGTAGGCCCACAATGCTGTTTGGGAGGAAATTCCAGGATTTTGACCCGATGACAATAAAGGAATGGTGATATATTTCCAAATCAGAATGGTGAATGGATTGTCAGGGAACTTGCAGTTGGTGGTAAGTAGTCATGGATTTGGAAGGTAACAGTAATATAAGGGACAGAGCATGATAGTGGGAAGAGGTCCATGAGAAGGAGAAAAAATAATTAGATAGGAAAATTAATTTTTTTTATTGTCACATATATCATGAAGATACAGTGAAAAGTGTTTTGTCATCACAATCTGGTGCCATTTTGAGTTACAAAAAGAATAAAAAGAAATCAGTTATATAAGAGTTCATCTTCTGTTCAGATTGGGTCTCAAGCACGGCTCCAGGGCTTCTGCAAGTTCTTCAGAAGGTGTTCCAATTCTCAAGGAGTCCCACTCTGAGAACAGCAATGACAACACTGATGCCCCAGGACACCCTGGCTCTGCTGCCGTCCACCACTGCCAAGAGTCTAGGCTCTGGGCCTACTGCCACCAGGATTATCTGGTCTAGGGACCGCTGCTGCCACCAGGAGCCTTAAGCATGGTTCCAGGGCTTTTGCAAGGTCTCTGGAAGGTGTTCCAACTCTTGGGGAGTCCCGCTCTAGGAACAGCAACAACAACACCAATGCCCCAGGAGACTCTGGCTCTGCTGCCATCCAATATCGCCAAGAGTCCAGGCTCTGGGTCTACTGCCTCCAGGATTCTCTGCCCGGGAACTACTTCTGATCCATACCGCTGATGCTGCAGCCACTGTCCCACCAACACTGCTCTGGTCTTGAAAATGAAGAAAGAAGAGAAAAAGAAGATGACAAAAAGTACACAAAGAAAAAGATGCCACTGGCCTGGACCGGACTGGCTCCGGTGCGCCCAAACACTATCTATCGTGCTGACATTTACCATCTTGAAGACTAGAGATAAAAGAGAGTCCAAAATAATATTGAACTGGAAGTGCTAATTTTGTTTCACTCTCCACAAATGCTGCAAAATATAGGAGATGATGGGAGCTCAGAATGTAAAACTGAAGTTGGGCTTTCATGAAGTTGGTGCACTTCAGGTCACACACAGGCAAGATTCCTGCTACTTATCACCACCCTGGAATCAGTCCTTTGCCATATTGAACACCAATCGGAGGAAGCATTATGGGCACTGAGCTTATTCTGGCCAGGATGCTTCAATGTCCATTACAGAGAGACAGATTAATAATTGATAATACCTCCTTTCTATTTATTTCTTAATTTATTCAATAGATTTTGCTTCCAACACTCTACAGGAGAAGTCTATTCCAAGTTTTGACCATTGTTTATGGACCAGAATTTTAAATCATTTTTGGACTACTTAATATTTTTAAAGTTGGTCCATAGTAAAGATTCATGTACTTCAAAAATCCTATTTATTATACCCAAAACAAAACCCAGCAGAAATCAAGAAAATAAAGTGCCTCAAAAAGTTCAGGTACGTTTGGAAAAAATGTACCTTTTTTAAATATATAAAAAGGAAGAGAGAGATCAAAGTAAACATAGGCACCTTAGAACATGAATCTGGGAGATAGTTAAGGGAAACAAGGAAATGTCAGAGGAGGGAAACAGATATTTTGCATCAGTCTTTATGGTGCAAGATACTTTGAACCTTGCATTAATACTAAAGAATTCCAAAGAAAGCCGATATGATACTTCTATTCAAAAAGGGATGTGGCAAAAATTGGGTAACTATAGGCTAATTAGCTTTTCATCTATTGTTAGAAAAGTATTGGAATTAACTATTTTGGAAGGAGTAACAGAACATCTGGAAAATCATCATCTATTCAAGCAGAGTCACATGTCTTCATGGAAGGGAAATCATATCTGACTAATTTATCTGGGTTTTCTGAGGAAGTCTCAAAAAGAGTGGATAGAGGGGAACCAGTAGATGTGTGAGATTTGGATTTCAAGAAGTTGTTCGATAAGGTACCCCACATAAAGTTGCTTTAACAGTAGATGGTGCTGGAGGTATGTATTCATGTGAGAATTGGCTAATAGGAATGAAACATGAGTGGGGATGAGTTCTTTCTCAGGTTGGCAACTTGTGACCAGTGGGTTTCCACAGGGATCAGTGCTGGGGCCGCAAGTGTTTCTAATATATATTAATGACTTGGAGAAAGTAAGTGAAAGTCTTACCGCAGTTGGATAAGGTACTGGTTAGAACCACATCTCAAGTACTGAGAGCAATTTCCATCCCCTTGTTTAAGGAAAGGCCTCATTTCATTGGAGGTAGTTAAGAGAAGGTTCACTAAGGTGATCTCCAGTATGAAGGGGTTATTTAATGAGCAAAGGTTAAACAGGTTGAGACTCTACTCACTGGAATTTAGAAGAATGACAGGAGATCTCATTGAAATATATAGGATTCTTAAGGGCTTGAGATGTTTCCCCTTTTGGGAAGTCTAAGACCGGATGCCATAGTCTCAGAATAAAGGGGTGCTAATTTAAGACAGGCATGAGGAAGAATTTCTTCTCCGAGGGTTGAGAATCTTTGGAACTCTTTGCCATAGACAACTGTGGGGCAGTCTTTGTGTATATTTAGGGCTGAGACAGATAAATTCTTACTCAGTAGGGAAATCGAGGGTTAATGGGAAAATGCAGGAAAGTGGACATGAGAAATGTCATATCAACCATGATCCTATCGATTGGTGGAGCAGGCTCAAGGGGCCGATGGTCTACTCCTGTTCCTTTTTCTTATGGTCTCATTAAAATAAGTAATATTGAACTGGTGTTTAGGGAATTTTGCCAAAAATTAATAAATGAAACAAATAGCTAAAGATCAGTGTTAAGCTATAATACCAAGTAGAATTGTATGATGCCATAGGTAAACTACGCATTGAGCACTCAGCACTCCCAGAATCAGTTTGTTTTACATAAAGAATGATAAGGAAGAAACAACGTAACACATTCAATGGGAGAAAATATTAAGTTTTAACCCTTTAACAACTTTTTAAAAAAAACTTTAAGGAGATACATGAGGGTGAGAAAGTCCTTACAAGGTATAACGTATTTAGTTCACTTTCAGTACTGATAAACCTAGCTCAGATGAATTTACTATTGAAACAAATAACAGGCTTCTTTCTTTATGAGGCTTCTTCTGCGGCTATCTCAAAGTTTTTGCTATGTGCGACAATGAAAAATATAATGCTTAAAGAATAATGTGTTGTAAAGATGAGGTAGTCATCAAGATCTTTTTTGAACAACAGCTAATTAAAAAGGGTGGGGGTGGTCAGCTGATGGTGTGGTGTGCGCAGGCGCATGTGCTTCGCGCGACAGGGTGCTAAGATGGCGAGACATGTACTGTTAACGGGGCCTCCAGGTAGTGATAGTCAAGGCCTATTCTGCGGTATCGGTAGCTGATAGGAACAGGAGGAGGAAGAGGAAGAATAATAGTAGGAGGAATAGTGCAAACGGTCGTCTGGCATGGTTCGGGAAAACTGACTGCCGTATCGTAGCGGGGGGAACGCGGTCTAAAATCGGAATCTTGTTGTCTCCACCCTTGCCCGCGCATTTGTGAGATTTTGCTCTATGCGAGTTGGCTGCCGTGAATCAAAACAGTGAATGCATTTGGAAAGATAATCGTGTGGATAATGAATGCTAGTTTTGTTTTTGATGGACCGGGTTTTGCACCCGCCACCCCAAAAATGCAGCGCAGTAAACGTTGCACGTACTGTCTATTCTCAGAAAGGATACTATCCTCCGGTATAGTGGAATCCACCGTGTCACAGTTTTGGGATAACGGGTAGAATTAAAAGAGTCGTGAATCAGTGGAATTCACTACCCAGAGTATGGTGGACTTTAGGACTGAACAAATTTAAAGAGGAGGTAGCTTTTAATTAGTAATGGGTTGAGAGGTTCTGGAGAGTGGTCAGCAAAGTGGAGTTGAGGCCAAATTAAAATCAGCCATGATTGAATCAAATGGTAGAGCAGGCTCAAGGGGCTGAATTGTCCACTTCTCCTTCTAGTTATGTTCTTATTGTCACATTTCCCTGTTACTTGCCTCTAACTTGGAAGGAAGCCATGAGGAACAGAAGGTGAGACAAGCCCAGTTGCAAAGGGACACAATCAACTGGCTCCATTATTCCCCTAGAGAAGGGGAATGTTCCTCAGTCAGCCTAAGTGGCTCCATTAACTAGAAGGGGTCTGTGTCTTCAGAACAAATCCTGGGCAGTCTTGTTCCTGAAAGCATAAATGTCAGTGCCAGTGACCTAGAAATCCTTTACAAAGAATTTCTGTAGAGTGAGAAATATGGCATTTAAAAAGCTAATCGATACTAGATGCTTTCAAAGTATAATAGGACAGATCTTTGAAATAGTTTTTTTTAAAAAACTTGTCTGTTTTTCCATTCTTTTAACTACTTTTTTTGGTATTTTTGCTTAAACACATTTGAATAAGTGAGATTCAACTTGATTTTTAAGTTTTGAACTGAAATAATGAAAATTTTAACAATGGAAGCTCCTAGTAGAGAATATGAAATTGAGTACAGTGACATATCACTTTTTTTTTCTGGGGAGTCTGACAATGGATAATGGTATGGTATTGAGAAATATCTGAATCTTTTCATGCAGATAGACTTGGAAGACTTTTTTATTTTCAGAATAGCATGTGATTTTATTTGAAAGCAATAAACTAAAAATCTGAATTAAACTATACCACATGTTTAGAATGCACTTACAAATATTAATTCTAGACTTTGGGCAGGAGCTGGGGAGAAATGTGTTTTTGTGGAAAGTGTTAACTCCGATGTATTCATAATTTGATTTGTGAGAAATGACAGCAGAAAATGCTCTAAGTATAGTTAAAAGATATGCTACTGTAAAAAAAACAATACATAGGCAGTGAAGATCAAATATAAATATAATAGTAATTGAGATTTGTGGAACAGATTTAATGTAGTAAACTATCCCAGGGCACTTCATGGGAGATAATCAAACAAAAAATTACACCAAACTAAATAAGGAGATATTAGAACAATTGAGCAAAGTTTTGTCAACAAGTGGCTCTATTGCTGTCATGAATGTCAAAGAAGGTGAATAGGGTTTCTGCATTATGTGCAATAGTACCTTCCAGACCAGGCCCAGCAATGAGGTGGCTTCCAGTGGCCCAGAATAGCGGTTTAGGCCTGGCGGGGTGGTCTTCTGGTGTGACAGTCTCCCGATGTGGCGATCTTGGGCAGGAGGGTTGATCTTGGCTTTGTGTGCTGGACTTCAGCAGCTTCTAGGTCTTTCAGCAACCCATTGTGGGGATCTAATCCTGGCGCAGAGGTCTTGTCTTGCCATGGAGGTCTTGTCCTTGCTTCAGAGATGGCTTCAGTGTCTTTCGGTGGCCCAGTGTAGAGATCTAGTTCTGGCGTGGAAGTCTTGTCCCAGTATGGTAGGGTGGTCTCAGCCCGACATGGCCGTCTCTGTCCAGCCGTGCATGGCAGTTTTGGCCCAGTTTTCCAGCGTACCCCAAACCCAGGAGATGTTAATTGAACTGTGAACTTTTACTTTTCTTCTTATTTATGACTTTTCTCATTAATTTAGACACTGTGGTATGGTCACTTATAAAACTTTTCACTTTTTTTTTGTAAAGATAAAAGTGACAATAAATTGCTATTCTATTCTAGCAAAAATGTGACCAGATTCAAAACATAATAAATGCTAAAGCTGATGTGTTAAAGGCACAGTTTTGTAGTAGTGATTTAACCTGCTGCTTTATGAGCACTGTACTGGCAGTCTGAGTCCTGCAGATCATGTTTGTTCCACTAGTAATTCAATCAATGCTTTATCTCATTTTATATTATAAAGCATAAGAGATGGATGCATGTAATAAAGTGCAAGCACAGGTGTACTTTGGGGCTTAAATTATGGAAATGTCAGCCCTGAAAATTTTTTACAAGCAATATTACTGGAATTCAGCATTCAGTTTAAAGATGCTTTGTGATATGTGAAGGTCTGATTTCAGCCTACAATGTACAGTTGGACTGCAGAAGTGTTTATATATATTTTAAATAACTTTATTTTTGGAAGCAATTAACTAATAATTCATTAAATTATTACTTGCAGCCCAAACTAGAAGTTGCCACAACTATGTTCACATTATATTTAGTGTTCTTAATAAAATGGATTTTAAATGATAAATTGGTTGCGCATCAAGAACCACCAAATGAAATGCTGAACGCTGAGACGGGAAATGGTGCTTAATTATGGTGATATTCCTTGGCCATGGGATTTTGCCTGGGGATTAAAAAAACTACAGAATAGGAAGTGTATTAAAAATTTAATTCTCAAGATTGTCTTATCTATTTCACATTAACTTATTCTATTTTATTTGAGTTACAATAGCAAATCCCACTTATCATTTGAGTGAATTTTTTTTTTCATAATTCTCTAGGTATAGGTAAAACAACCCTAATCCACAAAACCATAGATGTGTTGAAATCTTCTGGTGTTCCTGTTGATGGATTTTACACTGAAGAAGTCAGAAAAGATAGGAGAAGAATAGGATTTGATGTTGTTACAGTATCGGGGAAGCGAGGAACTTTGTCCAGAACTAGGTATAAAATGTTTCAATTCCTCAAGCCTGTTAAAATATTATTTTAAGATAATGAGTTTAGTCATGTTTAAAAATGATATTTTCCTGCCCTTAGCAGTGATTCAGGTTCTCTGAACCATAGATGTGCATATAGAGTTGGCCAATATGCAGTGGATCTTCCGTCATTTGAATGCCTAGTCCTCCCTCTTCTCAGAAAAGTAAGATGACTTTTGTTCTTGAAAGATATACTAGTCCTACTTTTTTGTCTGTTATATCTATGTCGGAGACCAGTTGACATGAGAAACTTGCTAGAACAATGGTAATCCAAATTTAAGTAGAGGAAATTAATGGTTGGTTATGATAGTTGAAAAGAAAAACCCAAAAAATGTGAATCTTATGGTGTCAATAGAAAAAGCAAAAGGTTAATAGGGTAGTACTCTTAATTTGTTTCCTCTACTTCTTGTAGGTTAGCGACAGAAATGACACAGAGAAAAAGGTGTACGTGATAGATGAGATTGGAAAAATGGAGCTCTTTAGTGAACCCTTTATCCAGTCTGTACGTCAAATCCTAGATGGACCTGGTGGCACCATACTTGGGACTATTCCTATCCCGAAAGGAAAACCTTTAGAACTTGTGGAAGAAATCAGAAGCAGAAAGGATGTTAAAATATTTAATGTAAGAAACTGAATACTGCCATATGCAATTGAGCAGACATGGAATATACTCTAAAATAAATTACTAAGTTGTAAAAAGTATGCTATTAGAATTATACTTCAGCATTCTAGCATGCAATAACTAAATAATTTAGAGTTAATAAGGAATTTACATAAACCATTCTGCAATATTCCCCATTTGAGAAATTAATTATTGAATAGTTATTTTTGTCTTGCAGATTACAAAGGATAATAGGAATAATATTGTACAAGAGATTGTCGCATCAGTGCAAGACTGCAGAGAACTAAACAGAAACTGATTCAGATTGTAGATGATTACAAGAGAATGTGTCCTATGAGTTGTGCAGATTTTTGATTGGTCTTCTGTTTTGTGCTTCAGGCTTTTTAGGCCTGCGCACAACTTTAAGTAATGCTTAAAAGATTTAGTATACCTCCTGGTTGCGCCTTCCACTTGCAGTATACTAATGTAGTGTTCTTGTTTATAAAAGTGTTATTTGACTTTATGCTTTTTTCCTAACTTATGTATATTGTTTAAGGTAGTAGTTGGATGTTTACCAGAATGTGTACTGATTTATTTTGGTGATCACTATATGTGAACTGCACGCAAATGACATTGTTATTGGTTAATAACAAATCATGTGAAATTTAACATTGCTACATCAATATCTTCTCTGCATTTTCTACGGAAATTTAACTTTGACAGAGAAACAAAGATCAATTTCAGACTTTAAAATTTTAAGAGATACACTAACACTCTTTGAATTCAGTTTTTAAAAAAAAAACTGCAGCATTTGATCCTACCCATGTTAGTACATTTCAGTGGTTTGGCGAATTGTCCATAGTCTGTGCAAATGAAAGTAAACTTCTAGTACCTTTAATTTTCACTTTGCCATGCTTTGTTAATGTAGCTCTGCTGTTAATCAGCTACCACTCAGATAATCATGTAAGAGTGAACCAAAATAAGTTAGGAGAATAATCCTGTGTTGTATTATTTTGTTTATTACATTACAGTCTCTAGAGACCAGTAACTTTTTTTGTTTAAAAATAGAAGTACGAAGTCCTCGTGAATTACGAAAGGAATGAAGTTTCAAGGTTTCATGGTTTAAAATACAAAAATTTTGACTGTACAAGAGTCTACAAAGCAAATACTAAATACTGTCTAGCATCTAGAATCAACATAGGTTGAACATGACTCAACGGGCCAAGTGTAGTTCAATATAAATCACTAATTTGCAGTAAATGACCAATTCTGTGAAATGGTTCAGCAGTCCACTCGAGTGAAATTATCACAGTAATTCACAAAATCCTTCAAATTCTGCCTTTACAGGTTCCACTCTGAGTTTTGGTCAAAAGCACTACAGAATCACAATCTGCCCATTTCAGTCGAAATGAGGTACACTACCACTGTTATATGTCAGTAATAAAAACAGCTGCTGAAACCTATTCTCAGCGTCAGGGACAAAAGTAGAGATTGCTGGAAAAGCCCAGAAGATCTGGCAGCATCTGTGGAAAAAAACAGAGTTAATGTTTCTGATTGAGTGACCCTTCCTCGGAACTAGATCGGACAGTCCCCGTCAATCTTCTTCGACCAGTTTGTACTTAGCAGACTCAACAAATAGCTACTGCTTAGTTTGGACTGGCCTGTAACAAGGGCTTGTTTCATTTTCCCAATCTGTTTTTAGTTTTATTAGAAACTGAGACCTTATCATTTGTAGTTTTATCTTTCTTGTTTCTCCTTGTTTCATTTTTAGTTTAGCATTTATTTTGAAATAAGGTCTGCCTCAAAAACATACAAATTAAATTTTCAAATATAGATTCCCTCATAACTAGCCACTCTTTGACACTGTCATGTGTATAAATTTGTCTAACAAGATATGAAATATGTAGCATCTTGTACAAACATCAGAGACAATTATAAAGGATTTCACCTTTAGTGTTGAAGGAATAAAGATACATTTTGTCAAAGTTTTTGTCTTGCCCTCAGGAAAAAAATTCCCAAAAATTTACCAAAGTCAAGGGCAAACAATATTCATATTGTATGAGAGTGCTGGTTAGTTGACACAGGGACTGATTGGTAGAAGCATTGACATGAAGAAGTGCTAGTTAACAATGATTGACAGGTAACTGCCAAGTTTTGTCAAGCCAAAAAGACGTTTTGCCTATGTCTCAAATTAGAAATGCAAATAATGAACTTCAATGCCAGTATGGTGTTTGGTATGTAGACTGTACATATCAAAGACTGGCAGATTAAACTAAATAGCACATCCTTTTGTTAACACACAACAAGCAAGGTATTGAACATCCCAATCAGTTCATACTCCAAAATTCACAACAGTGCCTAACATTTAGATGTGGTTCCACCAGCCTGTAATTTTTTGCACAGTCATGCTCTGGTTCATTTCTCTGGCCAATGCCTTGGCCATTGGAATCAACTCAAGACTTGGTATTTAAATATCAGTAATCATTAACTAGTATATTCTCCATAGCAACTACTGGTCAGCATTATCTTCTCATACAGTATGAATTTTGTTCACTCTTTTTAATAGTTGCAAAATGTTTTGAGTGCAAGATGAAAACATTCAAGCTTTTTTCTTCAGCAACTTCACCTTTGTTAATGTTTTAGTGTACTTTGTTTTTCTGTTTAAAACAAATTATTTTAATTGGTAAAGACTTTTTTTCTCCAGATGAAGCAAAGGGTTAATAGCTTGGAACAGTTACTAATCTTGATGGTACACAGAGGCACATTAATAGTGGATTTGACTTTGTAGCTGTGACTACATTTTGAAGTAATCCATTGGTTGTAAAGTGCCTTTGGACGCGTTGAGGATATGAAAGGTGTTGTTCGTTGACTTTTCATCAAAGTTCCAAAGGTAGAAAGAGACATATTTACTTACCCTGTTCTTCTTGGAGAATAAACCTCTGTCTTGTAATCTGGCCAACTGTTAGAAATGTGCAGCACCTGATTCTCAGTTCCTGCAGGAAAACAGAAATGTTCAATTCTAGGAAGCCTATTTTAATAACAAATCCACTGACTTCTACAGATTCCTTTCATGGTGAGTTGTGCTACTTTATGTTTTACTCAAAGGCACTTAACATAGTTTAGAAACTAAGGGCTGTAAGGAAGAAAAACAAGTCCTACAGCCTTAATAGCAACTACCCACTGAAATATATTAATGGACCTGTGAATGAAACATTATCCAACTACCTGGGATGAATGAAAGTCTCCCTGGTCCCTCATTCTGTCTGCCGTACCACAATCTAAGGCTGAAAATTCTGGAAGTACAGAAACTAATGTTACCAAGAGAAACAAATGTGTAATGCATCTTTATTACATTTTCTTTATTGACGCATGTTAAATTAGCAGACAGAAGAATGTCATGTAAGCAAAACAAGCATTTGTTTGGTGATATATACTGTTCTTCCACACTTCTGGCCCTGGGTCTTAATTACTTTGTTATTTTACACTCAATTTAGAACTTTTTCGATTCTGCTGTTTAATTTAGCAAAGTAAGCAGATTATAGGTGTAACAGCCTGTATATATCACAACAACCATTAAAATAGTAATACAGGCAGTTCCTGATTTATGAACACCTGAATTACAAATGCTCATACTGACAAATGAAATCCCACATGGGATGTATTTATATTAATTAAAAGATCTAACTTGCAAATGTTTCCTCATACTTATGAACAACAGTTTTATTATCATCCTAAAATGTCTTCTAACTTATGTACACATCAATGTGTATTCTGAGTAGGTTGCAATATTAACACTTATTTAGAGGTAGCCTTTGGTACAGAAACAGGTCTAAACACTTGTTGTAACATGGGTCGATAAGAATTGAAAGGTGTAAAGAAACAGTAAAGGGGTAGAAGAGATGTTTAGTTTATAAAATGTACTACAAAAGCACGGTTTTATGAATGAGTGAATAGAAATGTGAAATGTCACAGTCCCACCTTCTGATTCTGCTGAGACCCTTTGAAGAGAATCACTCAATTCTTATAACTCTCATGTACCATTTGGGTCTTCTGGATGTTGGAGGGCCTTGTGGAGACAAGGCTCGTAGTTGGGGATGGTTCATACTTTTAACAGCTTGTTGGCAACTGCACTTCATTAAAAAAACACCATACACAGCTAAAGTGACAGGAATAAACATCATAAGTCTGTGTACAATATACGTCCCTAAGGATCCCAGCCATCCTGTTGCCCAACTGCACAGAGTAGATGGAGGACGTTGTTGGATCTTTTCAACCTTCTTCCTAATATGGTCGGCTAGATCAGTAATACTTTCAGCGTTATCTGTGATATAGGTGTCCCCTCTCTGCCCTTGGCAGAATAAATCATTTCCCAGCTTTTCCAGAACCGAAGCCACGGTTATGGCTTCTCTTGGCCATACCATAGAAAGGAAATGCAATTGGAAAGAAACACGCAGTTTCAGAGATGGCTCTTTTGTGTCTCCAGCTAGGCATTTAGTAGAATGATATATGTATGTATGGGACTATAGTACCTGAGGTAACATGAACCTTGCCAGCAGGTGGGGAGCCATAGGTATGCTGTGTGGCCACAGCTGAAGTAAGTGCCATTATAGGAGGTGAAGCAGGCAATAACCTCAGGATACCATTGCACAGAGGAGATGCCTCCACTTACACCCTGAACAAAAGCGGTCAACAGACTGGATGTGACTGTGATATTGAAATATTGAGAGCAACGGCTGTGCCCCATCTCTTCCCTCACCATCCATTTGGAGAAGTTGACAAAACACATGGTCCCTTGTGATCTTCCCTGACTTGAGGTATTAGTGAGGGCCAGGAATGGAGGATTATGGATATGATCATAACTGGGCTGGTACCACACAGAGAAGCAGGTCAAGGGCCAGTTCACAGACCACCAGGCTTCAATACTCCTATGATGCTGCTTGGCCTGCTGTGTTCATCCAGCCCTGCACCTTGTTGTCTTCAATACTCCCTCATGTTCATGAGAGAACCCGTAGGGGGGGAATCCAGTTATGTACATTGGCCAACATCCCAGGGCCTGAAGAGGGTGGGATGTGAAATTTTGATAAGCATACCACTGCCATTTCAGATTCAGTGAAGGGAATAGGGCAGAATGGGATTCCTCCTTTAGAGTGAGTGGGAATGTGGGAACATATCCAACACTTGGACAGATTAGAAACTTTGGCATAGGCATATGACATACAGATGTAAGTATTTACATGTAACTCTGAATACCCCAATAGTACAAAAACTGCAATAACCATAATTGAAAATATGACAGTGTTCACTATGGTGGTCATTCTGTATTATAGGATGCCTATTTGATGTGGGAGGCATGAATCCAGGCCTTCTTTCCTCAGACCTTGACAGCCAACTGGGTGATCAGCAGCACCTGGTATGGTCCTTCCCATTTTGCGCCTAAGGGTTCCTTGTGGGCCTTTTTCACAAGAAGCCACTTGCCTGGTACGATGTCATGACCTCTCTCCGCCAGGTCCTTCCAGGCAGCCGATACCTGTGAGGAGGCAGAACTTACTGCACCTATTAATGCTTGGCAGTTAGACAATAGGGCATCACTAATAAGATGAGAGTCAGTACTCCACAGGTTTGTTGTCCTGGGTAGGGACATTGACCTGGGTGGATGATGCATCAAAATTGCCTTGTTTACCCCCACAAATTATAGCAGCCGTTGTGGTGCTCAGATATATAATTTTACCAAACAAGGCAAAAATTTCACTTTAATTTTCTGAAATATAGATGTTCCATATTGCATCATGCATAATGTAGACTGTTCATAAAATTCCAAGACAATTGAATTAACAAATATATATATCATATTAGCAGAAATTAGTTCTAGAAATTGATATTTATAGTGCATATTCCCTTGGATTGTGGGAAAAGATTGTACAAAGATGTGCATGCAGTTCAAGAATATATTCTCAGTGCAATTATATTGTACAGTTAAACTTCACATTATTTGATGTTTTAAAAAGTTACATTCCATTTTGTTCTACAACTTGATTTCATAATATCTTCTAACCTTCAGTTTTCAGTTAAAGTATAACAATGCTATAAATTCATCACATGTATAATTTAGCATATCTCAACAGGCAACCTCATGCAGGTATATTTAAGTGCAGGACTTGGGAGTGGCCCAAGCATATTTCATCTTTTTCTCAGCGTACCATCAATATGAATCAAAGAATTCTAAACTCCTAGCATTATATTTTGTTATAACTGCCTGCAAATCTGTGCTTGAAAAGGTAAACATATATGTCACTTTCTAAAAATCATTTTAAAATAGAATTAACTGAAGCGATTTATGCTGTTTCCAAGAATTAAAACACTGTCCATGCAGTAAATGTAACATTCAAAATAGAAAAGCAAAAATATGAGCTATTCAAGACAGAGCATGTTACAAGCAAAGCTAATGTACACTACTTCATCTTACTGCCTTATTGATGAACATATTGTAATCAATTTAAAAAACCAGGCTAATAACTGAAAATGTTTTCATTGAAGAAAGAGCAATTTCTATTACTTGTCACCCTTTATGGTAATTGTGTTACAGCATAATCTAATGTATTCAAAATTTGACAATTGTTTCTGAACTGATGTACAGATTATTCATACTTGCATATTTTCTCAAAAAGCCAAATTTCATCCATACTTTTGCTATTTGATAGTATACAATCCAAAAGGCTGAAACAATGATATTATTGCACAGTACATTATGGCAGCTCATTCTTAAATTTCAACAGGAATTTTAATCTTTCTATTACTAAGCTAATTAGAACATTGTATATTTCTAAAAACAAATAGAAAGCAAGGAGGAAATTAAAGGGAAAATTGTCCTTTGGAAAAGTTTAATTTGTATTTTGCAAAATAACTCTAGATATTCAAACATGTACTTTGCTGTTCTGTGAAGCAGTTTGTAATATTGAATTTGCTCACCAGTAGCAGATATCCTTCATGCTTCATCCTACAGCACATGCCACAAAGGCTGACTTAATGGTTTTCTGCAGCTCCACAATACAATTTTACCTCATAAATGAGACTGATGTCAATTTTTATCAGGCAAGTCTCTGAACAGATGAATTGCAGTGCTATTTTTGTCTGATTATGTTTCCATGAAGCGCCTTGGGACTTTTTTCTATGTTAAAAGCACAATATAAATGCAAGTTTTTTCATAGGCACAGAAATAAGAACAGTGGGCAAAGGATTTTGTTCATGAATAAACTATTAGAAATTATTACACTGGAAGGCAAACTGGAAATTGAAGAAAGGGGGCAAAATAAATGCATAATCTACAGAGTTCAGTGTATCCTCTGCCCACTAGCTGAAATGTAGCATAATTAGAGGGCTTGGCCCTGTTAGTTGTCCCCCACTGCAAGGAAATCATATGGTTTACAACAGAGATAGGTCACTTTCTCTATTGTACTATGTTAGTGCTAACTAACTGAAGCTGCTTACTCTAATTGCATCTTCTTTGTAGAACATCAGCAAATCAAAACAGTAGTTTATTTGTACTTTTTTTTGTCCTACGACTAAATGACTACATCTCCTCTAACACTACGTTCTGTAATATTTGTAATTTGGAGTTTTTTGATGAGGTAATAAAGAGGGCTGATTTGAGTAATGCTGTTGATTTGGTGTACATAGACTTCCAAAAGGCATTTGATAAAATAACATAACAGACTTGAGCAAAGTTAGCATGTATAGAATAAAATGAACAGTAGCAACACGATTTCAAAATTGACAGGAAACAGTAGCAGTTAATAGATTATTTTTGGATTGGAGGTAGGTTTAGAGTGGACTTCCCAGTGGTTGCAGTTAGGACCCCAGAAATTCCATATATATAAATAACCTTGATCTTGATTCACAGGGCACCAATTCAAAATTTGCCATTGATACAAAACATAGCAGTGTAGTGAAGTGTGAGGAGCATAGTGATAGATTTCAAGGAAGATATCGTCTGGTGGAACAGGTGGACAAACGGCAGAGGAAATTGCATGTAAAAAAATATTAAGTGATTCATTTTGGTGGGAAGAGCCAGAGAGACAATACAGGAGTATAGGAGCACAAGGACTTGGGTGTAGTTGTGGATAAATCATTTAAAGAACAGGGCAGGTTAAGAGAACATTCAATAAATTACTTTATCAAGGAAGGAAGTTAAAAGAAGGCAAGGAAGTTAAATTAAACCTATATAAAACACTTGTTTAGCCTGAAATGGAGTACCGCATCCAGTTCTGGGCACATCTTTGGGAGGATGTGAAGGCATTAGAGAAATTGCAAAGAAGATTCATGAGAATGGATCCAGGAATGGGGAACTTCAGTTGCAGAGAAAGATTGGAGAAGTCAGGATTCTTTTGCTTGAAGGTAAGGATGAGAGATTTGCTTGAGGTATTCAAACATCTGAGGGATCTGGTAAAAAGAGTAAAAAAGGAGAAAATTCTCTTCACTGGAAGAGTTGAGAATTGAGGATACAGATTTAAGAAATTGGCTAAATAAACAACGGCAATGCATGAAAAAGCATTTTTACACAGCCAATGGTTAGGATCTGGAATGAACTGACTAAGAGTGTGGTGGAAGTAGAATCAGTATAAACTTTCAAAAAGGAACTGGATCATTACCTAAAAAGGAAAAGGCACGTGGGAGTGGTATTCGGTGAATTGCTCTCCTTC